AAAGCGACCAAGGACCTTTCTTTGGAAACCATCAAGGAGTTGCAGAATTACCGTGGTTGGGTCAAATTCCGGAGGGTTGTCGTTGATGTCAAGGACCGTGATCACAGCTTTCGCAGTTGTGCTTAAGCCGTCACCTTGAAGGTCAGCAGCTTCAATCACCAGAGAGTAGTTGGGAAACTTCTGCAGAGATCGAACACACCCAAGTTAGGAACCACAGCCACATCAGCCCCCCATAGCATAGACACAGAATATTTTATCATCTGCTTAAATGCCGGCCTAGCAGCCTGTCCCCTAGGCACAAAACCTCTGCACACATGTCTAGATGCAAAGCTCAGACCAGGACCATGTAAGTGACAACTGGCCTCAGCAGAGTTTTAAGTTGTCCATGGATTTAGCTAATGTGCATTTGCCCACAACACCCTCTGGATCTCTTCCCCCCTAACCTCACGGTCCAGCCCGGTAGTGAGCACACTGATGACTCCTGTGTCCCTGTTGATGGCGAACATTTGCAAATGAGGCTGTTTAGGCTCTTGGCTGATGATCCTGTAAGCGATGGCAGCGTTGTAGGTGTTCACTTCGTCGTCCGCGTCCGTGGCTGAGACCTGCATCACGGAGGTTCCTGGAAGCATCGAAGGAGAGGGAGACAGTCAAGCTGCACTCCAGGCTCTGGGCAGTACTGCTCCACTCAACTCTGTACAGAGCCATGAAGGCGGGGCCCCGGGAAACACTGTGTCACAGGGCTTCTGATTGCTAATTTCCAAATTTCTTACCAAGGTGCTACCAGAGGAAGAAAGCCTTCCCCCAAATGAGCGGTGTTCCAAGAACTCAGTTTTCCCAGCAAATATTTTGGGTGGAGGTGGATGTGAGGAGGAGATGGGAAATAGGGTGAGGGTTAAACTAAAACATTTTGCCACATCTCTTATACTGAGTGAATAGCCTGAAAAATAGGAAAAATCCCAAGATTTCAGGAACTGGCTTCTAGGCCACAGCTTCAACTGAGAGAATGGATCCTTTGAGATTATTGCCTTCAAGGTGGGAGAAAATATTTATAACACATATTACTAATAGGACTACTTGTAGGACATCTAAATAACTCTAAAAGTTTATAGGAAAAAGGTATATAGCCCAAGGGAATAAAAGTGCAAATGACTTGAATAGACAAGTCGTCAAGGAGAAACTCAAGCCTGTCTGGTATGGCTCAGTGGTTGAGCGTAAATCCAAGAACCAAGAAGTTGTCGGTTCAATTCCTGGTCCCGGCACATGCCTAGGGTTGGGGCTTGGTCCCCAGTGTGGGGTGTGCAGGAGGTAGCTAATCGATGATGTTTCTCTCTCATCAATGTTTCTATCTCTCAATCCCTCTCCCTTTTTCTCTCTCTAAAAAAAATTCAATAAAAAGATTTAAAAAAAGAAGAAACTCAAATGGCCAACAAACATAAGATGCTTAGCCTGTTAATAATCAGAGAAATGCAATTTTAAATTGTACTGAGAAATCATTACACATTGACTAAAGCTAAAAAGTCTAATAATTCCAGGATATACATTGCTGATGGAAGTGCAAATTGGTTTGACCACCTAGGAAAACAGTTTATCACCATGTAGAAAAGTAGGCAAAACTAACAAGATTTTATCTAGAGGCAAATACACACATGGTAGAAGACAAATTAAAAAAAAACAAACAAGGGAATAATTACCACAAAGAACAGGGCAGTGTCTACCTCTAAGGGAAGGCGAAAAAAATGTGATCAGGAAAATTATATGAAAGGTTCATACTACTATTTAGTGAAGGAAGATTGTGTTTAAATCTCTCTGATTTTATACACATTTTTAAAGGTAGAGTGCTACATGCACACACACACACACACACACACACACAGTGGCTCTCAAAAAAGTTATGTCCACAAGAAGGACATGGCCCCAAGCGCCAGCCCCAACACACTGGGGTCCAGAGAACCTAAGCATCTTTCTGGATATCTGGCTCCTCCTTACCTGGGAGAGCACCTTCCAGGACAGACCCCTCAAAGACCGCCTGGATGAACTCAGGCCTGTTGTCATTCTGATCTGTCACTGTGATCACAATCTCCATCGGATCCTCAATTGCATTCCCGTTGGAAGACACAGCGTGAGAGAGGAGCTGCAAGAGCCAAGGGAGGGTTACTTCAGCCCCAAGGAGAAAAGAAGTGAGAGAAGTGGCCCGACCAGAGAGCGGGCTCCACGTGGTGTCCCCTCCTTCCCACTCTCTGAGACCCGAGTGCATGGACACCTGCAGCAGAGCCCTTTTCTCACACACATGCCGCTGCTCCAATGAGGTCAGCACACTGGCTGAGAGCATGACATGTGAAGACCTGAGGGCTGGAGAGCACACCCACCAGGTCAGAGCTCCCATTCCCTGCACGAAGGCTAGGCAGTCAGGCCCAGCAGATAAAGGGGGAAGCCTAACACTCTGACTTCTTCCAAGCAGGGTAAAATTAGCCCTGGCCACTCCAGTCTAGTGTGTCCTCCTGATTTTTCTGCATTTGGCATCAATACATTACTTCCCAGTTGCCCTCAGCTCACTCTGCTACCAGGCCCAGATGGTTTTTGCTCTCCGACATCATCACTGGCCTCTACTTTTAGCTCCAATAGGCTGATATCTTGGGTCCAAAGTTATGTATGACGCATAAGGACTCTCCCCGCTTTATTCCTAACAACAAAAGTAATTTAACAACCCCCATGTCCAGGTTCTCCTGTCATTTCTCTTTATCAATAGGTCGCAAAGTGGCAAATTAAGCCCCTCATACATCCAGAGTCTCGAATCTAGGGATCCTAATCGGTTAACCAAACAATTTGGGAAAGATGGGACCCCATCATTAATAAGCGCCTAAGAGATACTCACTGTGTACTTGGCAATTGCTTCTCTATCCAGAGGCTGCGTCACCTTGAGCCATCCTGTCTCCCTTTCAATAATAAACACACCGACGGGGGGTGCGTCAGCTCCTTGGCCAGTGATGCTGTAGAAAACCTGTGTCTCTTTGTCTCTGTTAGACTTGATCTGGAGACAAAACAGACACAGAATTAGCAAGGGAGGGTCCTTACATTCGGTCTTTCTCCTTCCTCTCCTTGGTGCTTCTCTGCCAAATTCCTCCCAAAGAAATAGAGAACACCCTTCTCTACCTGGACCAGTTTCTTAGGAAACGGGCCTTTCTCATTTTCTGGGCAGCTGATGGGAGGGATAACCCAGTCTCTCTTCTGTCTTCTGAGACCATGGTGGGAGTCAGGAAATGTGAGCACTTCCATCCGGGCTTCAGGGAGAGAATCCTAAAAGGAAAAGAGATGAACAACACAATGAGATAATTCATGAGAAATAATGCCGACCAAACAGTCCAAACTAACCAGTCAACATCTCCATCCTTGTGGCGGTAACAAGTGATTTGAAGTTAATAACAAAATTAACAGCCAAAACAAAATACAATGAACCCCTTTGCCATAATAAAGAAAGTGTTCTCTTTTGATCTTCCTTAGTATCCAGAGTTCAAGTAATCATTATACATGCACGATGATAGATATGTGGGTTTCATGTTATTTTGTAAGTATTTTAAGCCTACAATGTCACACTTGTCATATTTTTTTAATTTTATTTTTCCATTCCAGCTTACAGTCAATATTATTTTGTACTAGAGGCCCCATGCACGAAATTCGTGCAAGAGTAGGCCTTCCTTCCCCCAGCTGCTGGTACCAGCTTCCCACTGGCATCTGGGACCTGAACTTCCCTCACAGCCCCGGCTTCATCAGGAAGGTCGTCCAGTCTAATTGGCATTATCTATATATATAAAAGCCTAAATGACTATTACAACCCATCGACTGAATGACCAGTTGACTGGTCTGTATGACATGCACTAATCACCAGGGGGCAGACACTCAACACAGGAGCCGCCCCCTGGTGGTCAGTGTGCTCCCACAGCCAACCTCCCGCAGCTGGCCAACCTCCCACAGTCCCTCCCCACAGCCAGCTGCCCCCAATAGGCCCCAACTGGAACTGGGCAAGACAGCCCTAATCAGCAGGATCGCAAGCCAGGCCAAGGGATCTCACCTGTGCACAAATTTGTGCACCGGGCCTCTAGTATATAAATAAACAAGTGAGTTTTGCTTCCTAAAAAATCCAGCCACATTAAATTAGGCACTGACATACTGGATGTTCATTGACGCTGAACTATTCCTTCCTTCCTGATACTTCCCTCTTGATAACACTGAAGAGAAAATATGCAGTTGTTCAAGCATTTGGTGTTCTGTTCTTTTTATAAGTTTATATCCTTCTTCTGGAATTCCCTTTGAACTCTAAGTAATAGAAGGGGCAATGAGATAGTGAAAGAAAGACCTACAGTCTCTCCTCCAAACTACATGGGCACTTCAGTTAGGATTCTCTGCTGTAATCACAGTTTTGAGTGTGCTGTCGCTACAGAACTGAACCTGTCATTTTTAATAGAACAGTATACTCCAATGATTTTGTATCAGAGCTTTTTCAGCAACTGGATATCCTGGTGTTTTAATTTCTTTTCCTTTATATTTTTTCCTAGGGTTATAGGTCCCCAAATAGAGTTGTCAGCCAAAATCAGTTTGTTTTGGGACCTGGTACTAAGAACTACTTTGTGATCAATACAAATCTCTTACTCTTGTGGTGTCATTATATCCATAAGGTGTCCATTTGTTCTAACAGAAGCTGTTGGAATGGAAACCAAATCCATCCTTTGAGACTTGTATTGAACAGTTTTCATGTGTGATAATGATAATGTTATGCAAACACAGGCAAATAAGATAGTAAATGATGGAAGGAAAAAAAAATCTTCCAAAGTGTCTAAGTGTTTTAAAGTGATCAGTGGTAACACGGTCAAAGTTCCAGAGGACAATCCCATCCCCCACCATCTATACAGTTACTGGTCACTGTCTGCCCAGTGTGATTCAAGCCCTAGTTTCTGGGGTTTTTCAAATTTGACTCAAAATTCAAAAGACAAACATGAGATGTGACCAAATATCACCTCAAAATCCTTCCCAATTCTGCATACTTCACACACACACACACACACACTCACTCTCACACACACCATCTGCACCCTCACATTCACCTCCTAGAGAAGCAGTCCTGCCTGGGTCAAGGGCAGGCTTTGGAGCCAGCTGCCTGGCTTTGAATTCTCACTATGGCACATCCATCTCCTGGGCAGATTATTTAACGTCTCTCTCCCCCAGTTTCCTAATGTCTAAGAATGGGTTAATATTAGTACCTATACCTCATAAGGTTCTTGGGAGGAAGAAATGAGATATTAATGCCTGAACATAGTAAGGGCTCCATAAATGACAATGATGGAGAGGATGGTTGAACTGGTTGGAAAACTCTGAGTTATGGTTTTAATGAAGTCAAGTTT